TCCATAAAATGCATTGCTGTTCTGTTGTAAGTAATCTTAAAGATTCCTAAATGCATCTACTTTCGGAAGCCCAAATAAAGTGCTTTTGCTTTCTCCTAGAAACACACAGCGTCTCCCTGACATGCTGCTTCAACACTAACTGCGGTTACTGAAACCACGCCTTCTTTCTTTGCGTGAACATTTGGGCCGCATTATGCAAATATTTCCACATAGTGAGGTAGATATGTGGGGCGTGTTAGAACGAGCTGTTTTAGGGGGGCGTGGCAGAGTCTTAACTTTTATAAAGAATATATCTTTGGTTTTGAGACTTTAGTCTTTGTAACTTCAGGGATTTTATCTATGCACAATCAGCTTGTAACACTCCAAAGAGAAAGGAAAACTTGAAATCGCATCATATGACCCCTTTAATTATCATGAAAATAATTTCACAATGCAAATATTTTCAATCATCCTAAAAAATAGATTGATTTCATTATAGTTTATTTTCATTATAGAAAATTTATTTTTTGTTTCGTTGTGTTTTTTGTTTTGTTTTGTGTCCTGACATATTTTGCATGGTTTTTATTATTTTCATAACCGGTACGCACATTCACCCTGGTAAAAATTACAATATTGTGAATCGAATTTGTAATTATTCAGAAATAAATTGAAAATTTCAAAGCTTGAAAGTATAATGAGATCACAGTAATCATCAGCTGGGGGTGGAAAGGGCTTAATTATCATGAAAATAAAGTCAGTGCAAGAATTCTTAATGGTCCTCCTAAACAAATGATTAATTTCAATTTATTTAATCATCTTTTTTTAAATCAATTTCCTTATACAAAATTTTATTGTATTTTTACATTTGTATTTTTTTTTTATATTTATTATATTTTATTGTCCTAAACAATTTATTATTTTACATTTATGTAATCATCTTTTTTTAATTAATTTCATTATAGAAAATGTTATTGTAGTTTGTTTTAATTTTTAAATTTGTATGTTTTAAATATTATATTTTATTTCATTTATTTTCCTAAACAATTTATTAATTTACATTTATGTAATCATCTTTTTTTTTATTAATTTAATTGTACAAAATTTTATTTTAGGTTTTTTTTTTTTACATTTGTATTTTTAAAATATTTATTTTGTTTTATTTCATTTTGTTCTCCTAAACAATTTATTAATTTACATTTATATTTATGTAATCATCTTGTTTGATTAATTTCATTATACAAAATGTTATTGTAGTTTGTTTTAATTTTTTAATTTGTATTTTTTAAATATTTATTTTATTTTATTTCATTTTGTTGTCCTAAACAATTTATTAATTTACATTTATGTAATCATCTTTTTTTTAAATCAATTTTATTATACATATTTTATTTAATTTCAATTTCATTTCATTTCAGTTTCAAATGTTTGTGTGAGATTCACCCAGGGTCAGACACAGGTCTTTAAACGGTCCCAGCTGTGGATGCGTTTGGCCTCTGTCCTGCTTGATGGGCAGATGTTGCTCTTCCTCTGTTTGGGGTCAGGCTGTCACACACCACCTCTCCCTTCATTCTCTCTCGCCTCACGTTCTGTCCAGCGGTCCGCTCTCAGACGGACCCTCGCTCATCCTGTCGTCTTTAGCGCACAGGGGTCGACCAGGAAAAAACTTAGCAACAATTGATTCAGACGCTTACGTCTGTGTGAAGACAAGGAATGCAATAACAGGAAAATAGGGAGGATTATAAATAAAGAGCTGCATTTGAACTGCTCACCCGTGGGCGGAGCATAAATAAACACACCGCCGCCCCTTTGTCTGCCTCGCATTGTTCGCTGCGCTTGATTGGTGGAGAAACCGTCTGCTCGCACATGAATTATGGGATAATGGTTTAAAAGGCCAAAAGAAGACTTGGCAGGGAGAAGGACTGGGTTGCGACACGGTTGAATGTGTGGCTTCACACAGACCATTTGAAACTCATTTGATTCTTCATAGAAAAACAGTCATTAGTATTTGGGAATGTTTTTGGGGGAAATGTTGCAATGTTTGTGGATCATTACAACAGCCTCATTTCTTTCTAGAAGATCTAGTTCATACCAGTCTAAATATAGCACATATGCAACATAGTTCAGCTGTGAAATCTGTTGGCAAACAATTTATTACTTTTATTATGGCAAATCATGATTCTGAGGATACTTTTCTTTTTTTATTATTATTATTGTTACATTGATTGGTGACCATAAATAGCGTACAGTTAAATAACTATATTACCTGGAAAATGATTAAAAATTGTTTATCATGGGAAATTATTATTATTATTGATTTAAGAATAGTTTTATTGAAATGATCATTTAAATTGTTTTTATATTAAATCATTTGTATTAAAATGCATTTTAGATAAGTGTATTCTTCTTTATTATTTGAATATATTACAAGTCTTATTTTATTTCAATTGCTATTAAAATTCTATTTTTATATTAAATCATTTTGAAACAAAATGAATTAAAAATAATTTTAGATAAGTGTATTATTATCATCATCATCATCCATCATTGTAGAAGTATCGAAGTATTTAAAAATGTTATTTAAACTGTTACTGAAATTCTATTTTGTTAAATAATTTTGTATTAAAATACAAAATTGTAAACAAATTTTAGGTCATTTTATTACTATTACAAAAGTATTAAAATAGTATTTTATTCAAATCATTATTTCTATTTTTATATTACATAGCTCTTTATTACAATACATTTTTTATTAAATAAATGATTTTAGATAGGCCTAAGTGAATTTATTATGATTATAAAAGTATTAAAATTATATTTTAAATCATTATTGAAATTAGTCTTATATTAAATAATGTTGTATTAAATAACATTTTAAATAATTGTATTATTTTTATTATTATAAAAGTAGTAAAAATAAATAGTATTCATTCACTTTTGGTCATTGTTGTAGTTTATAAAGCGGATAGTTGCAGTGCTTGATTCTGATTGGCTGAGCCGAGTTCGAAGCTGTTGTAAATGACTCTACAAACACACATTTTTGTTTACTTCTGTGTGTTGCTCTGAAACCACTTTGTTGCAACCACAACTGTTTCTGAGGAGCTACATTGTTTGGTGGAAGAATACTGTGTTTATTAATATCATTACACTTTATTTGCTCTGTTTTATTTTGTGAAACCTTACTACGTATATGTGAATAACCATTTTATATGCTGCAGTTCACTCCAGGTCGTGTGTTAGGAGTGATTTTCCCACTATTAGGTGCACAGCGCTTAATAACCGCTATTAACCGTGGTAGAAAGCATTGTTATTGGGAGTTAATTTCGGAGCGCTAAGCGTCTTTATTGTCGTCCTGCAGACGAGCGAGAGGCCGTGCAGAAGAAGACCTTCACTAAATGGGTGAACTCACACCTGTCTCGCGTGTCCTGCCGGATCACGGATCTCTACATGGACCTGCGGGATGGACGGATGCTCATCAAGCTGCTGGAGGTTCTGTCCGGAGAGAGACTGGTGAGTTTGGCTGGTGATGTCATCGGCAGGGGGCGGGGCCAGCGTGCCCATATTTGGGCGTGTGTTATTATGCTGTCATTCTCGGTCTCTGACGTCTGTTTAGTGTGACTTTGATGGCGGCTTGTGCTGAGTCAAATCCGGTAATCACTCAGATAACTGTGTTTGGTTTCACGAGCCCAGTGGTTTTGCTTTCACTCAGCCGATTAACCATGTGCGTCATCTAATTGCCTGAAACTGCTCTTTCCTCTCCAGCAAGCGCAGACTTTGGAGAAAATAGGCTGTTAAAACTCCAGCTTTAGGAGTGCATTACTCTTATCATCTGCTTACAGAAACACAGATGGAAACCGTGTGGAATCTGCGATCCGATCACAACAGACAAACATAAAGATAATGAGTGAGAGCGTTGAGAAGAATGAAGCTCATGTCCAGCTCATATTTCACAACAAAATAAAAATACAAAAATAGACTTTGCATGAAAAAAATCACGCCTTTTTAGGACCATTGCTGGCAATGCCAAAAATCATTATGTAATTCTCCATTAAGTGACAGTTATTTCTATAATGTCAAATATTGTGATGTAATTGCATTATGAATATGTTACAATTAACAAAAACAATTACATATTTTTTTTGCCCCTACAGGTTTTAATTTTGGGCACTATTATTGTCTCTTTGTCATTAACATATCATAAAAAATATTGTTTAAAGTATATAATTTTGTATGTATGTTTTGGTAATATCCAGTGTTGTTTTAGGATTATTTATATACTGTTACAGCATTTATAAATATTTAGAATGAACTTTTGTTTTTATGTTTTCAGTTTTAATTTAGTAATTTTATTTTTATTCGTTTATTTTTATTCTGTTTAACTATATTTTAGTAAAATTTTAGCTTGTATTCATTTTTCTACTTCGACTTATTTAATATAGTTGCCAAGGCGACATTTCTAATTTTCATTAGTTTTTAATCTAATATTTATATTTTATTTCAGCTTTGTTTGAGAATCATAATGGCAAATAATGATGATTACAAATAAACTCAAAAGTAAAAAAAAAAAAAAAACATCCAGATATATTAGTTATTTAAATGTATTTATTTATTTCTAAAAATATTTTTTATATAATATTTATTTTCAATATATTTAATGCATATTTACTATTTAATTTCTCTTACTTTACATTATAACACTTTTCCCTACGCATTATAGCACTTTACTGTTAGTTGTATTATTTATTTATATGTATATGTTTATTTATTTAAACTCAAATGTCTAATGCATCCAGATATATTGCTGATGAGAATTGACCTAAACATGTTCTCAGTGAGATTTTGATAGAGTAAGATTAATATCACCTGTAAGTTTCCAGGCCTTCATTCCAGACGTCTCGTCCTTCAGAGCTGATCCACAGTTAAACTCAAACGTCTGTGTCAACAGGTCGTGACCTCTGTGTTTGAAGCACAGTTCTGGGTCGTCAGTTAAATCATCTTAACAGGGCTGAGACTGATAAGATGCTGAATACAAGAAAAACATTTGACCAAAAAGCTTGTATTTCTGTCCTGAATAACAATAACATTAGGGCTGTTTTGATCCAGAAGCGATGCATACAAAATGCATAGTTTTTAGTAAGGGAACAAAACTTTGAAAAATGCACATTATTTCATTTTTCAGATTTTTTACATATATTTTTTAAAAGATTAAAAAGTGTTTCAATGGGTCATTTTGGACCCGGGTATGTATGAAATACCATTAGGTGTCAAAAGTACTTTCTGTAAAATGATCTATGAAGTTATATTAGTGTCAAAACACCTTTGTAAAATATATTTAGCATTTTCTTCATATTTGACACACCCTTGGAACTCAGTTTTACTTGATAAACATGAATATGTACGCCTATTGACAAATCCATTGCAGCATGAAAAATTAATCATCAGAGTTTATGTAAATAAAATTTATTTTGTCGAAAACAAGTAATATTTATGCTGTTTTGATGTTTTTTTTGTTAGAAGTAAATATGTAGGTTTTATAAATTTGGACTGTTTTTGAGCAATCATGAGTTAAATTTAAGTGAATTCCATTTATTCCAGTGGGATTAATACAGATAAATCTTAAATTATAGGTTCTTATAAATTTAATACAATAATGTATTTAAAAAAAAGAATTCTCATAAATATTGAAAAAATTTATAAATATTTTGAATCAGTGTAGTTCATGTGTAATTTGAAATTTCAAAGAATTTCTCTGCTTTTTTAAATTAATAAATAAGGGATAAGTACAATAATAACATGGTAACATTCATTCAGCTACATATTCAGAAGTTGCTGATCAGATACAATATGGTTTTAGATTTTAAAAAAAATTTAAGTTATGACTTATAACTTAAGTTATGACGTGTGTGTGTGTGTGTGTGTGTGAGAGAGAGAGAGAGTGTCTGTGTGTGTGTGTGTGTGTGTGTGTGAGAGAGAGAGTGTACGCGTTTTTGTGACAAATGAGGACATAAATGTGTATAATGACAAAGGTATGACAGGTATTACAAGGAGAAGGTGACTTTTCAGGACATTACCCCATGTCCCCACTTTTCAAAACGCTTATAAATCACACAGAATGGAGTGTATTGAAAATCTGAAATAGCAGAAAGTCTCCTGTGAGGGGTAGGTTTAGGGGTAGGGTTGGTGTAGGGCAATAGAATATACGGTCTGTACAGTATAAAAACCATTACGCCTATGGAGTGTGTGAGAGTGTGTGTGTGTGTGTGTGTGTGTGTGTGTGTGTGTGTGTGTGTGTGTGTGTGTGTGTGTGTGTGTGTGTGTGTGTGAAGGAGCCATGTGGGAGCACAGCGTTTATGTTCACACATGCTTTCACTATCTCTCAAGGTTCACGATAAGATAACTCGTCAGTGTGCCAACAGAGGAGACACCTTCCTTTGAATCTTCCTGCCTTCTTCACCAAGGCCACGAGTCACATCCTAAACTGAGACATCTCAGTGATCTATCACTCGTGCTTCCTCTGTCTTTCCCTGAAGCCAAGCTCTTGCACTGACACTGAAACTCAGCGCTGGTTTTGGCGAGCAGTTGAAGTGGAGCTTGTGTTTCAAACCCTGTCAAGCGGCCCGTCTAGATTGGTTTACACAAGCGTATCGGGCAAGTCCAGAGGAAGAAACCTTTACCCAGAATGCATTGATACCAGCACTGACCGTGATCTGTGTTTGTGCTCTATTTCACTTACTATAGCAACCATTTAATGAAGAAACATGCTCATAAATTTCCTTCAAGTGTGTCAGTACTTCCCCCTTTATCTGTTTAATCAAACTATTTCTGTGGTCGTAATTCATCTGGCAGACAGTGAATCTGACTCCAGCAGGGCTGCTGTCCATGGCTTTGAATGGCTGTTTTGTCAGAACTTGTCTTCACAGATACAGCAAGTTCGAGCATCCAAACAAAACACTGATTCATCGCAAACATATGCTCGATAATGAACAAAAGAGCCATAAGCTTTACAGTAAGCATGTTAGCAGCACCTTTATAGTACAGTCAATTTTTTTTTTTTTTTTTAGGTTATGGATTGTTTATGTTATTATATGATATAATACAATTTCAGGATAGCGTACAGACATTTGTCTCATTCAAAAAAAAACTTAAAAAAACAGAATTGTATATAGATTATAGTATAAATACAAATTTAGAGTAGTAAAAAATGTTGCTTAATGCTTCCTTGTCACTCTTTTCTGCTGTTTCAAGGGTTTTGTCTGGATATTCAGAAAGGCTTTGTCCTCAGTGAACAGAAATGATTGTAATTTGGATTTTATCAGGCACCTCTGGGTCTGGGCTTTCATCTGTGATCTGATCGTGTGATTGGCTAATCGGACAATCCCTCTTGCTTTTACAGAAATCGCAGTGAAAGGCAGAGCAGCTTTACTGATGCAGCCGCCCAATAGAAATCTGCTGATGTCATGCCTTGCACCGCAGTCTCTGCAGTGTGTGTGTGTGTGTGTGTGTGTGTGTGAGGTCCTCTCACCCGCTCTAAGAGGAACGTACCACCTCCACGTCTCACAGGGAGGATGGATATGCACCCCTCGTTCTGCCCCGCTGCCCCGCAGCTCATTACTGAAATGCTGTCACTTCACCTTAAGCGTGTCCACTGAGGATCAGCTGCTGATTGAGCCGTCTCTCTAAGCATGATGGGATAGCCAGTCCTCTAGAGACGCGGGCCGCTCGACCCCTGCTCTCAAGCGCATCCATTTTTTCACACAGCAGCTTTCTCCAGATTATAAATAATGTATTGTATGTATATTTAGAAATCAAAAATATAGTGAAAACTACTATATGCAGTGTTACAGCAGCTTTCTCCAGCCACACCTCAGTTCAGAGTCTCCTCATAAACATCACCCGAAGCACAACGCTGTTTTACAACCCGCTTACTCATTTACCCATTTCTACGTGACCTAAAAACAAAAGAGCTCCAGGAATCTTCATGCATATCTAAGTTATTTTAAAGAGTTCTGAAGAACTGTGGTCACTCTGGTCTTCTTCACTCGGCCTTAATGTAAAAAATAGGACGTTCCCTCCTGAGGCGTTTAATATATCATATTATTTGACACATAGCTTTTCCTTTGAGACCTTCTTTCCTTCCCAAATGTGTCAGAAAGAAAAAATAGCCGCTCAACCTGTCTGCAGGAGCGACGGGAACAAAAGCCACTGCATCATTAACTCGTGCTGTGCTGAGTCTGACGGCTCGAGTTACTGGTTTCTGCATGCTGTGGATATCGCTGTTAACCCTTACCGCGCTCAGATAAAGATGCATTAGGACATGAGTATGCATGCATGTTATAAAGCAGTATAATTCACACACACGTTCTGATTTCTGCGCAGCCCAAGCCGACGAAGGGCCGCATGCGAATCCACTGTCTGGAGAACGTGGACAAGGCCCTGCAGTTCCTCAAGGAGCAGCGCGTGCATCTGGAGAACATGGGGTCACATGATATCGTGGACGGAAACCACCGACTCACGCTCGGCCTCATCTGGACCATCATCCTCCGCTTCCAGGTACAGCATCTTCTGGATGCTACAGACCCCTCAAATGTGCATGTGCATGTGCAAATTTCAAAGGCAGCTGCATATTTTCATGCACAAAGAAAATTTGATATTGTAAATGCATATAAAATGTTATTTGGAAATGTTTAGTTTCTTTTACTTTATAACACCTTTTCCCCTCTACTAACTATACTACTGTACGCTAGGATGTGTTATTTATTTATATTTATCATTATTTTTTATTTAATTTTTTTAAATGAACTTGAATCACATTTTTATTAATTAGAAAATAGAAAACAGAAAATATTTGGTTTCTATTACTTAATCTAACGCTTTTTTCCTACTCAGTATAATGCTGTATAAAATGTAAAAAGTGAAAGTACTGTATTATTCATTTAAATGTATATTTAAACCAACTTTTTATTTTTTAGTCACATTTTTTTTATTTTCATTTGAAAGTATTTTATTCCTATTACATACTATAGTACTGTACTATTAGATGTATTATTTTTATATATTTATGTATGTATTTTTTATTTTAAAAAAATTAATTTTACCACATTTTTGTATTTTTGAACTTTTATAAAAAATAAATAGGAAAATATTCCGTTTCTATTACTTTACATTATAACACTTTCATACTCACTATAGTACTGTGCTGTTATATTTTTTATTCATGTATGTATTTATTTAAATCCATTTTTATTCATTTATTTTTTTTTTTACATCGAAAACATTTTTATTTCCTACTCGCTATAGTACTGTAATGTTAGATGTATTATTTATTTACATTTATATATTTATTTAAGCCAAATTTGAATGAATTTATTTAACTTTTAAATTGATTTGAACCGGGGGTTTTTTAAAATCCCATTATTATTGTTGTTGTTTGAAAACCCCTGTCCTAATAGCATCACATTTCAATCACATTATGGTCAAAGCAATGCACAAAAAGTCCATTATGTTTACAGATCCAAGACATCAGCGTAGAGACAGAAGACAATAAAGAGAAACGCTCAGCCAAGGACGCGCTGCTCCTGTGGTGCCAGATGAAGACCGCAGGGTGGGTGGACGTCCAGAATAAAGACACACACGTGCTCGAGTCCTTGATGTCTGACAGCTCTGCTTTGTGTTTCACAGCTACCCCAACGTCAACATCCACAACTTCACCACCAGCTGGCGTGATGGAATGGCTTTCAACGCCCTCATTCACAAACACAGGTAACAGCTCCAGTACACCTGCATCAAAAGTTCTGCTTTGCAAACTTAATCTGCTTCATTCTCAATGCTTGCCATGTTTCCAGGCCAGACCTGATTGATTTCGACAAACTGAAGAAGTCCAACGCTCACCACAACCTGCAGAACGCCTTCAACCTGGCGGAGCAGCACCTGGGGCTCACCAAACTCCTGGACCCAGAAGGTAAGAGCCCACCGTGCTTCTACATCTCCAGACCTCATCATGGAATACACAATAGCACGCTGTCTTTTGTTGCAGATATCAGCGTAGACCATCCCGACGAGAAGTCTGTCATCACTTATGTCGTCACATACTACCATTATTTCTCCAAGATGAAGGCGCTGAAGGTGGAGGGCAAGCGTATCGGAAAGGTCTGAGTCTGCAAAACACCTGCATGACTAGAACGTTCTCTGTTTTCTATGAAAGAGCATTTAGAGACTGATTATTTCATGCTTATGCATGCCATTTATTTATCAGTAATGTAAGATTGTAAGTTTAAATATTGCTATTAAATAACATAAATCATTATGAAATAAAACATTGAATTAATAAATAAAATGTAAGCAAAAAAAGTAAATGCCTCAATAATTTTAAATTATTTAAAATGTAACATGTAATGGTGTCATCTTAATAATTACACATTTTCAACTGGTCTTTTGTCTTACATCTGTTTATTAATAAATAAATATCACACATAAGACTGAAATAGCAAGTTTATGCGTGCTATTTGTTCATTATTTATCAGTTTTGTAAGAAATGTCCGTTTAAAAAAAAAAATAAAATGTTTAAAATTTTGTTAAAAAAATTAATAAATTCCTATTTGAGATGTAACCATGGCCTTATCTTAATAATTACATACCTGAACTGCAGTTGGTCTTACATCTGTTTATTGACTGATTATTTCAGTGCTATTAATTATGTATTAATTAATGAATTCATTAATTAATCAGTTGTAAGAAATGTAAGTTTAAATATTTAGATTAAAATGAATAAATAATTAAAATAATTTACATTTACATTTAAACAAATAAATTCCTATTTGAGATCTTAATATGTACATACTTGAATTGCAAATCTTAGAATCATAAATCTGTTTATTGACAGATTATTTCAGTCTTATGCACGGTATTTATTTATTTATTTATTTTAATAGGACTAATTTATTTTATGAAATAGTACTTTTTCATTCAAATATTGCTATTAAAATAAATAAATAAATAAATTCATTATCGATAAGTTAATTATAAATACATCTGTTTACTTTCTGAACTGTAATAGGTTTAGTCTTTGTTGCATATTTTGAATCGTTTATAGCCCCGTGGTATACCACATTATGTGTTGATTCTTGTGCGTGTTCAACTGAAGATGTGGTAAAATGTCGATAAATGATGGTGATATGGCATTTAATATACAGATCTGAAAACCAGAAGCTTGATCTTTAACTGCTGTTTAGCTGCCGTGCAACTTGTATCTCCTCTGGGAAACGCAACTGATGTAAAATCTCTTCACTAGGTGCTCGACAACGCCATCGAGACGGAGAAGATGATCGAGAAATATGAATCTCTGGCGTCTGATCTGCTGGAGTGGATTGAGCAAACCATCATCATCCTCAACAACCGCAAGTTTGCAAACTCTCTGGTTGGAGTCCAGCAGCAGCTCCAGGCCTTCAACACTTACAGGACAGTAGAGAAACCGCCCAAGTGAGTGTCTGCCGGAAACATGCAACACATTACAATACACCTGACATGAACTGAATTTCACTTTCAACGCTTTCTCCACAGATTCACTGAGAAAGGCAACCTGGAAGTGCTTCTGTTCACCATCCAGAGCAAGATGAGGGCCAACAACCAGAAAGTGTACATGCCACGAGAGGGCAAACTCATCTCAGACATCAACAAGGTGAGATTGTCATTTAAGAGCTGCACGTGGTGTTTTCAGTGGTGCTTTGAACCCAGAAGGATTCATTATTTATCCACTTACAAATAAATGTGCTTCCTTTGATGCATATTGTAAGGGTAAAACTATGATACAACCCCAGTATGTTTAGTAATTGCACTGTTTTATATTTAGACATTTACTCCATTTATTCATACGTTTATTTACAAAAAAAAGTTGATTTACATTTCATTATTTATTTATTAGCTGCAGGTTGTGTTTGAGCTGGCTAGGATTCATTATTTATTTATGTACAAATAAATACCATGGTATTATTACCTTGGTATTTTCCTTATTTTGGTGTATTTTGTGAGGGTAAAAATATGGTACAATCACGGTATTTTTTGTAATTGGATTTTATATATTATTTAAATATATATATATAGCAAGATGAGGGCCAACAACCAGAAAGTGTACATGCCACGAGAGGGCAAACTCATCTCAGACATCAACAAGGTGAGATTGTCATTTAAGAGCTGCACGTGGTGTTTTCAGTGGTGCTTTGAACCCAGAAGGATTCATTATTTATCCACTTACAAATAAATGTGCTTCCTTTGATGCATATTGTAAGGGTAAAACTATGATACAACCCCAGTATGTTTAGTAATTGCACTGTTTTATATTTAGACATTTACTCCATTTATTCATACGTTTATTTACCAAAAAAAGTTGATTTACATTTCATTATTTATTTATTAGCTGCAGGTTGTGTTTGAGCTGGCTAGGATTCATTTATTTACGTACAAATAAATACCATGGTATTATTACCTTGGTATTTTCCTTATTTTGGTGTATTTTGTGAGGGTAAAAATATGGTACAATCACAGTATTTTTTGTAATTGGATTTTATATATATATATATACACACACACACACAGTAGCCATCAGAAGATGGGTACACTGTAGTCATAAAGGGATGGACATGGTCCGCATCAATACTCAGGTAGGCTGTGGCGTTTAAACGATGCTCAATTGGTACTAAGGGTCCCAAAGTGTGCCAAGAAAATATCCCCCACACCATTACACCACCACCACCAACCTGAACCGTTCAGACAAGGCAGGATGCATCCATGATTTCATGTTCTTTACGTCAAATTCTGACTCTACCATCTGAATGTTGCAGCAGAAATCGAGACTCATCAGACCAGGCAACGTTTTTCCAGTCGTCTATTGTCCAATTTTGGTGAGCCTGTGCGAATTGTAGCCTCTGTTTCCTGTTCTTAGCTGACAGGAGCGGCACCCGGTGTGGTCTTCTGCTGCTGTAGCCCATCTGCTTCAGGGTTCGACGTGTTGTGCGTTCAAAGGTGGTATTCTGCATACCTTGGTTGTAACGAGTGGTTATTTGAGTTACTGTTGTCTTTCTATCATCTCTAACCAGTCTGCCAAGCAAGGCATTTTCGTCCGCACAACTGCTGCTCACTGGATATTTTCTCTTTTTCAGACCATTCTCTGTAAACCCTAGAGATGGTTGTGCGTGAAAATCCCAGTAGATCAGCAGTTTTTTAAATACTCAGACCAGCACGTCTGGCACCAACAACCATTCCACGTTCAAAGTCACTTAAATCCCCTTTCTTCCCCATTCTGATGCTCGACTTGAACTTCAGCAAGTCGTCTTCACCACATCTAGATGCCTAAATGCATTGAGTTGCTGCCATGTGATTGGCTGATTAGCAATTTGTGTTACCAAGCAATTGAACAGGTGTACCTAATAAAGTGGCAGGTGAGTGTATATTAGTGCTGTCAAACGATTAATCACGATTATAAAAGTATACTGTGTATATTTATTATGTATACATAAATACACACCCATGCATGTATATATTTAAGAACCTACGCATGTATAACTTGTCTATGGAGGGTTCATATACTATATATATATATATAGTATATATACACACACACACAATTTATTTATAATATATATATATATATTTTAATTATTTATTTCCTTTTTATAACTTATTCTTATATTTATTTATATGTTGTTATTAATTATTAGATTATTGTTGCATCAGTTTTTTCCAGGTATTTCCTAGTTCTGTCAGTGAAATGTGTTGGATGTGCAGCTGAAGCTGTGTTGTTGTCGCAGGCGTGGGAGCGTCTGGAGAAGGCGGAGCACGAGCGTGAGCTGGCGCTGAGGACCGAGCTGATTCGACAGGAGAAGCTGGAGCAGCTCGCCAGACGCTTCGACCGCAAGGCTGCCATGAGAGAGACCTGGCTGAGCGAGAACCAGCGCCTCGTTTCCCAGGTTCATGTCACTGCGCTTGCCGTATAAACGAACACACCACTGCATTGTGGAAGACATCTCAGCCAGGATTTTATGCTATTTTCTGACCTCTGGTGGTCCAAGATTCAGATGACACAAAACACATTTTCTTGTGCACCATTTTATATTTTAAACTTTCGCAGTTCCCTTACAATATATTTAAAACATAGTTTATTCATATTTTAATAGGTATTATTATTAAATATTGTTACTATTTATTTGAAATTAATATTATTTATACTTTTATTTATATACTTATTTTTTATGAAAACGTTATAATGAAATATTTTGCCACAATATATTATATTATTTATTTATTTATCTTTTAAACCATAGTTTTAATAATTATTTAGTTTGTGTTTTTAATTTAATATTTATTATAAATTATTGCTATTATTCATATATTTATATTATTGTTATATTATTTTATCTAATAGTATTATTATTATTATTATTATATGAAAATATATTATATATAAAGCTCTAAATGAGCATTGTTCATAATTTTGCCACAAAAAATATCTGCTTCCACTAAACATACATCCAAACTGAACAACTGAACAATATTTATGAACTGTTATGAAAGATATTTATAATATATTTAACAAAACATATTTTATTTATATTATATTATTTATTATTGGTTATTATGCTGTTATTTTTTGCATTTATATATATATATATGTAATTTATATATATATTTTTTATATATTTTTTTTTTAATAAAATGATAAATTTAATGAATTCACAAAAACAAATGTGCAATAATGAATTGCAGGTCCTAGAAGACAGTCAAAAATAGTCATTTCTTTCACATATTTATTTTCTTAACTTTCCCATTTCTTTTCCGCAGGACAATTTCGGATTCGACCTCCAGGCGGTCGAGGCAGCTACCAAAAAGCACGAAGCCATCGAGACGGACATCACGGCGTACGAGGAGCGCGTGCAGGCGGTGGTGGCCGTGGCCAGAGAGCTGGAGACGGAGAACTACCACGACATCAAGCGCATCGCCGCGCGCAAAGACAACGTGCTGCGTCTGTGGGAGTATCTGCTGGAGCTGCTCAAAGCGCGCAGACAGCGGCTGGAGATGAACCTCGGCCTGCAGCGCGTCTTCCAGGAGATGCTCTACATCATGGACTGGATGGACGAGATGAAGGTGAGCGAGGAAGACGAGGATGGAGGAAGGAGAGGGAGCTGGTCGGGTTAAAAGCAAGAGGTCTAGATGAAAGCTAGAGAGATGCAGAGTAGCGCACAGAGAAATCTAATTTAAAAATAGATTCTAGCAATAGAAGTACACTCTTAAAAATAAAGGTGCTTCACGATGCCATAGAAGAACCTTTTTGTCTAAATGGTTCCATAAAGAACCTTTAACATCTGAAGAACCTTTCTGTTTCACAAAAGCTTCTTTGTGGCGAAAGAAGGTTCTTCAGATTATAAAAAGGTAAGAAAGAGATGCTTCTTTAAAGAGTCTTTGCCTGAATGCTTCTTTGTTGCATCGCTATGGCATCGCTTGAAGAGCCTTTTGAAGCACCTTTATTTTTAAGAGTGTAGGTAAAAATTGTCCAGCTAAATTTTTAATATGTTTAAAGATGTTGTGATTATTTGCTTTAGGTTTTATTAACCATATTTTTTTTTTTTTATTATTATTTTTTTTTTATAATAGGTTGCTCTGACCTGTTAAAAGCTTTTTGTTGTGTTCTTTTGTCATTTTTATTTTATTTTTTTATTTATTGTAAATATTCCGTTTTCCTATTTCGGTTTAATTTATATTTTTTATTTCAGTTTTAGTCATTTTAGTACTTCAGCTTAAACTTATTTGATTTCAGTTAGTTGTTATTTCAGTTAGGCAGCATTTTTTTTCTTTTCAGTGTTTTATTTCAGGCTTATTTTAATTAACGAAAACCTTTTTTAATAGTTTTAGCTTCAGTTTGAGTATTAGTTAACACTAAAAACACTGCCTGACATGGAATCATCAGGGTTATTATAATTAACTAAAAGTAAAACCATAAAAATATTTTTTTATTAATTTTATTTTCGCTAATTGCCAAGACAACATTTCTTTATTTTATTTAGTTTATCTTGACATACTTAAATAACTAAAACTGAACTAAAAATTAACAAAAGCTATATAGACATATAAAAAAAACTACGAAAAATTACAAAAACACACAACAAAATTACTAAAAATTGAACTGAAAATTAAAACAACGAAAACAGAAAATATAAGAATAAAAACGAATTAAAAATATTAATAAAATCTCAATTATACTAAAATAACACTGACACCAACAAACTCTCAAATTTGTATGTTTTTAAAATGCTCCTCTGACCTGTTAAAATCCCAGTAGACCAATATTATTGAAGCTTTAACATTTCAATTCAAGTTTATTTGTATAGCGCTTTTCACGATGCAAATCGTTGCAAAGCAGCTTTACAGAAAATTCAAGTTTCTACATTATAGCTTATCAGTGGTGATGTCCATATGGCAGAAATATTCAGTAAAAATCAAGCAGTTAGTTAATGTCATGTATTCAAAAAGACAGTGAACACTATTAACAGCAATGATTATATATTGCGATCAAAAGGTCCTCTGAGGGGTTGGTAGCATCTCTTTTAAGGGCAGGATCCAGACTGAACCTTGTGTAAATCCTAGTTACATCCCGTGGCAGAAACAGAGGAGGTAATAGAGAGAAATTAGAGTAGCTGCTATAATTGAACCCATT